GGCAGGCCTTTTTGTCATGGTTCTCTAGTTCCATTTTGAAAAGCTTTTTCAGTATTATTTTTATCTCCATTTTCTTTTTATTTTTATTTTCACGGCCTTTCTAAAAGGAAAACATTGAAGCTCATGGGACTGTATGGCATGAGTCAGAAATTGTGACCCAGGTCATCATCATCTTCCTGCTAACAAAACTTCCCAGCTATTTCACACACTGAACTAGCCTGAGAGCCATTGTCCTGCTCCTTGAAATATACTTCTAGAGGATACCTTATACCACCACTTTACTAAACCAGCATAATCCCTAACTGCATTCTAAATGCTTACCTGCACACCCACAGACAAGTGTGACTCTCAGTCCTCACTAAATAAGCTTCTCTTTGCAGCAGACAGAGACCATTACAGAGATACACAACTTGTCAATGCAGAGAACAACTGATCCTGGGGATGCAGGCTCAGGGAGTATCACAAGAGAGTTGGCAGAATGAATGTAAGAGCCCAAAGACCAGGAAGTCTGTAGTGAGTTCATGTCCCTTAGAAATAACAAGGGAGCCATACCCATGATACCTTAACAATATGTCTATTATCCTCAAAGAGGGAAGTCTCACAGGCCCCCACAACTGGTTAGCCCTTAAACCATATACATACAAGCAACATTAAACAGACTTAAGAATATATATATATATATATATATATATATATATATCAACAACAAAGAAAAAGATGCCATAAATTTGTAAGAGAGTGAGAGGTGTGAGGTATATGGAAGGGTTTGGAAGAAAGAATATATTAACATAATATGATTATATTTTAAGAAAGTAAAAATTTATTTTTAAGAGTTCCCAAATCCAAACTATAAATGTATTTTTTAAAAGTTCCTGAGATTCCAGGAAGACTCTCAGCTATGAGTCCTTCATTTCCAAAAGAACACTTTTTATTCCCAAGGTACAATGGCACAAAGCAAAGATTTCCAACCCTAAGGGAAGAATGGAGAGCAGCAAGGAAAGATCAGACTAAAGCAAGATCAAAACTCAGTGGAAAAACATTCAATCTACAGATCTATGTCCAGCGCTGGGGCACATGTTGATCCCATGTGAGCTCTGAAGGCTTCAGCCAGCCTCTCTGCTGTAGCATTGCCATCAGGACATGTGGCCTCTCTCTTGTTAGGGCTTTACTCACTGCCCACAGCTTCCCTCAGCAGACATCCATCTCCATTTCCTCACACCAACATCCTAGGGACTCCTGTGGCAGCTTTGGCTTCCTGTCACAATCTCACCCATTGCCTTCTCAGGGCACGCCTTGTAGGGATCCTTAACCTGCCACAGACTGTTGTTCCTCTCAGACCTTTCTTTGAAATTGGAAGTCTCCATGATCCCATAACTCAGGCATTTTCATGCCTACAAAACCAGCATGCCACCAGTCTGCCGCAAGCTCAAGCAGTATCGTGGAATCCTTTAGACAGTAATTAGTGACCAGTGAATGTCTGAATGAATAAACACAAAGAAACGCTTCCCTGGTGGCCTTCTGTGAACAGGTCACGCTAGTAATCCCTTCTTCTCAAAGCATAGTGTTCTAAATGAACTTATAGTACCCCCGAGTCCGTGAAATCTGCGCAATTCCTAAGATAACTTTAAGGTATCTTTCCTATTGTCCAAATTTATAATCCTTAGCTTATTTTTAATGACTCTAATATCTAAAAAATCATGACTTCCTTATCCACAGTTTTACACACCCATTCTCTGGCTCCCTCAATCATTCGTGTTCAGCTAGCTTTTTTTATATAATCAAGGACCACCTGCTGGGATGGTGCCACCCCACATCAATCACCAGTCAAGATAATCTCCCACCATGGCTATAGATCCATCCAATCTGGGCGAACTCCCAATTGAGAATCCCTCAGAGGACTGTAGGTTTTGTAAAGTTGAGAGCAGATGCTAACTAGGGTAGGGATTCCTTGAACACTTTCTGAGTGGGATGCTATAAATGTCCACCCCCAATACCTACCCTCTTCTGGCAATGTCTATCACCACTGAGTCTATCCTTCCTGGTAAACTCCATCCTTCAAGACATAGCTAAGAACATTATTTTTTTCTGCAAAGATTGCTCTCTCCATGGAGAATTACCCTCCTTGTTCCTTAATTATAGCACTTGTTGAACATTTAAACATAGTATTATATTTATGACTATTTGCTTATATTATTTTTGTCTAGCTTCCTTTCCAGACTATGAAATTCCTAAAGTTAAAGACTGTGTTTGATCCATATAACAGGCCACTCTGCCTCCCCAAGGCATCTTTACTGGTCTTGAGGAAGCCTCTTAAATGCAAATGCAGAGGTTTCAGAGATTTTAACTTAGGAATCCATCAGATCAAGGATTTGGCTGAATTATACCATTCTTCATATTGTTCTGGGGCTTCAACCTCACTACTGTAATCAGAAGTATCCCAACACAAAAGCAAACTGTCATTAAAACACATGACTAAATAGAACACAGGTATACTTGAAGAGACTGAGGTTAGAACATTTCCCCCCCAAATGTTCACTTAGTTTTATTTGAAAGTTATGGGATTGGTTTTCTTCAAAGTTATATATTACATGCATAAGCATACATGCCTTTGAGGACTTGCCTGGGAAGTACTCATTGGGGTTAGAAGCAGGCCCAGATCAAGACTGGGGAACAAGTAAGCCTTGGTTTCTCCTCTTCTGTGGCTCCACCATGGAGTAACTTATTACCCAGCATGGCCTGAACCTGCTGGATCCCCTACAGAGCTCTGTATATTAGAGCCTTATTACTGGATTGTGAAGATTAAGCTGACCTACAGAAGAAATGTTTTGATATGGGCCAAATAAAAGACCCTTCTCTTGAACCTCCTTTTGAGTCAATTGATAATACTTGGCTGTTATTATACTTCTTGGAGAAAGAGCCCCGAGACCTATAAAATTGTGCTGAAGTCAGGTTACAAATTTGAGGAACATTATCTCACTTAATTACCAGTGGAAATGTGTGGCTATAATTCATCTTCAAGTGTGAAGTGTATAAGCTTGCCTCAGACTCACAGTCCTCTGAAGTGCTAGGATTACAGAGCTGAGCTATCATGCTAGGCTGTGATCACCAGAGTGTTCGTTTAAGTACTCCTTGGAAGACAAAAACCCATGCCTCAAGAGGGAGTCCATACCCTACAATGCCTAGATGGCCAGGAACCAGTGACCTAGGGTAGAACCAAACATGACCAGCAACAAAATAAATGATTCCTAATTTAAAAAAAAAATCTATTCTAAGTAACTATTGGGTATAAAGGTAGTGCATTTCTGAGTCTGAGCCTCATGGGCTATGACCATAAGATAAAACTTTATGGGGAAGTTTTTGCTGGCCTCATGCCATGACACCATCCTTGTCTCTGTGAGGAACTTAGCAGTATGGCAAGTGAAGATCTTAATACTGCCAGAACACTAGAAAGTATATAGGCTTGCTGCTAGCTACCCCTATAATAGGAATGTAGTGTTCACTACTGTGTCGAGCAGCATTCCCAGAGTTTGTATGCTGAGAATGAACATTGTCTGAAGATAAAATGCCAATTCCACATAAGAGCCTTCTGGCAGGGGTTGAGCTGGGCTCTCTCCAATTAGGCTGCCTGAAGGAGCAGAGAAAGGCTAGAGGCAATTGTGTTGATTATATTTGACTGTTAACTAGATCTGGAAAGAACCAAAAGGAAAACCACTGGGAATTTCCATGATTCTTCATTTATTTATTTATTTTATTAATTTTTGTTTTTTGACCCAGGGTTTCTCTGTGTAACAACCCTGGCTGTCCTGGAACTCACTTTGTAGACCAAGCTGGCCTGGAACTCACAGAGACCCACCTACTTCTGCTTCCTGAAGGCTGGGATTAAAGGCCTGTGTCACTATGCCCAGCTCATTTCTTGATTAGATTATTTGAAGTGGGAAGACCCACCCTACATGTGAATGGCACCTTCCAGTGACAATCAGATGAAGGAGAGATGGAAGATTGCTTTTTGTCTGCTTGCCTTCACTCATGTTGACAGCTTCATCTATTCTGTTGTTGCCAAGGCTGCATTTTCTTCCAGCTTCTAAGCTTCCAATGCAGACTGAAGACCAGCGGCTTTCTAGAAATCCTTTAAGGCTTTTGGACCATATATGGACTACTGAGATGTCCAGCCTCATGGACTATGCAACTATGGATTCTCGGCCTCTCCAGCATACATCACCATTGTTGAACTACCCAAGCAGTATCCTGTAGCTCAATCTAATAAATCACACTTTAATATATAGCTACTCTATTGGTTCTGCCCCCTAGTGAAGCCTAATACATGAAACTAGATCTTTGGAGCAGGACAGGAATAAGTGACAGGCAGTGACATTTTGTCACCTATATCTTCGAGGAAAAAAAGATTACAAAAACCTAGCATGAGCTTCCTCCAAAAACAAGTGTGCATGAGAACCTTCATGTGCATCTTTGAAGGCATGACAGACCCAGAAGGTCTCTCACACAGCACCAGGTTAGAGCTTTCTTGTTCTTGGTACCTCTTTTACCCCACTCCAATCTACAGATGGCTTTGACACAACCAATAAAGGGAGAAAAGGCAAACAAATGGTCAGTGATGCTATGACCTCTGTTATCCAGGCTCTAACCCATCTCTGCTCTGGCGTGGGAAGAGAGTAGCTCAATGGGAAGGAAACGTTACTCTTGTCTTTTATCTGGGACTGCTTTGTAGCCTGTGGTACTCACAGCAATAAGGAGTTCTGACCAAATGTAATACAGAAACACCGGAAGAACTCGTCCCTTCTAGAAGCCAGTAGTTGCTTTTCTAGCTCTGCTTATTAAGCATACTACTTAAATTTATACCATCACAAGAAATGGAGGTCAAAAGGCATATCTTCAGGCCCATACTTTCCTTTGGATCCCTTAAGGAGGTCAGCTCACCATTACTCCTAGAAAAACTCTAAAGCGTCCTTTTATGAAAGTTAGGGTTTGAGAGTTATGGAGCTGTGCTCACTTCGGCAGCACATATACTAAAATAATTGGAACGATACAGAGATTAGTATGGCCCCTGAGCAAGGATGACATGCAAATTTGTGAAGCGTCCCAAAAAAACAAAACAAAACAAAGTGGTTTCTGACTGGTATTCCCAGCACAGCATTTCCGACAACTAGCTATAAAACTACAAATATAAAAACTGGGAAGAGACCGGCGGGAATTTTTCAAAATGGGAGCACCGAGGCGCCGCCCAGGCCTCAGGAGGTACCAGGGGTACCTTTCGGTGGCGTTGGCAGCGGAGGCATAGAGAAGGCAGCCTGATGGGCTCCAAGACCCGCTGGCTGCTGGGAGCGCTGCCTCGGAGGGACTGCGACAAGGCCGAGTCTGGGGCGCCGGATGCCCGGGAACATGGCGGCGTGCATCGGGGAAGAGGATCGAGGACTTTAAGGTTGGAATTCTACTTGGTAAAGGATCATTTGCTGGTGTCTACAAAGAGTCCATTCACACTGGTTTGGAAGTTGCAATCAAAATGACAGATAAGAAAGCCATGTACAAAGCTGGAATGGTACAGAGAGTCCATAATGAGGTGAAAATACATTGCCAGTTGAAGCACCCTTCTATTTTGAAGCTTTATAATTACTTTGAAGATAACAATTACGGGTACCTGGTATTAGAAATGTTCCATAATGGAGAAATGAACAGGTATCTAAAGAACCGAACGAAACCTTTCTCAGAAAGTGAAGCTAGGCAATTCATGCATCAGATCATCACAGGAATGTTGTTATCATTCTCATGGCATATAACACTGGGACCTCACACTCTCTAACATCTTGCTTACACGTAATATGAACATAAAAATGGCTGACTTGGACTGGCAACACAACTGAAAATGCCTCATGAAAAGCACTACACACTCTGTGGAACTCCTAATTATATGTTACCAGAAATTGCAACTCAAAGTGCACATGGACTTGAATCTGATATTTGGTCATTGGGCTGTATGTTTTATACATTACTTATTGGAAGACCCCCTTTTGACACTGATACAGTCAAGAACACATTGAATAAAGTAGTATTGGCAGATTATGAAATGCCAACCTTTTTGTCACGAGAGGCCCAGGACCTTATACACCAGTTGCTTCGTAGAAATCCTGCAGATCAGTTAAGTCTGTCTTCTGTGTTGCACCATCCTTTTATGTCACGAAATCTTTCAACAAAAAGTAAAGACTTGGGGACTGTAGAGGAGTCAATGGATAGTGGGCATGTCACAATTTCCACAACAATTACAGCTTCTTCCAGTACCAGTTTGAGTAGTAGTTTACCTGACAGAAGAAGACTTTTGATTGGTCAGTCAGTTCCAAATAAAATTACTGTATTTCTAAAAAATAAGAATTTAAGTGACTTTTCTTCAGGAGATGGAAGCAATTTTTGTACACATTGGGGAAACCCAGACCAAGAAGCTAATAATTGGGGACGAGGAGGATTAATTGAAGATGCAGAAGAAAGGTCGCATTCTAGATACCTTCGAAGAGCTCATTCCTCTGATAGATCTAGCACTTCTAATCAGTCTCAAGCAAAAACACTCAATAGAACGTTGTCATTCAGTAGAAATGCTTTCAAAGCCCAGAAGATCCCTGGATGAAAATGAAGAGAGTTCCAATCACCATTGTCTAGGAGAAACTCCTTTTCCATTTGCAGACCAGATGCCTCAGATGGAAATGGCACAGCAGTGGTTTGGGAATCTGCAAACGAATGCTCATTTGGGAGAAACTAATGAGCACAAAACCACTAACCCAAGCAGAGATTTCCAGGGCTATCCAGATTCGGACATGTTAAGAAATGCTTGGACTGATACAAGAGCCACCAAGAATGCTGATAATTCTGCTAATGTTCATCCTGTAAACCAGCTGAGTACGACAAAGTTTACTATGACTGCACATCATAGTAAACCTGAGATTATGCAACAAGAGCTGGCCTTCCATCCCCATTCTGAACAAAGCAAGAAGAGTATGGAGTCAACACTGGGTCACCAGAAACCTTCCTTACGAAGCATTACATCTCCTTTGATTGCTCACAGATTAAACCAATCAGACAGAAAACCAAAAAAGGCTGTGGTGAGCATCCTAGATTCAGAGGAAGTATGTGTGGAGCTTCTAAAAGAATGTACATCTGAAGAACATGTGAAGGAAGTTCTTCAGATATCTAGCGACGGGACTATGATCACTGTTTATTACCCAAATGATGGAAGAGGCTTTCCTCTTGCTAATAAACCACCCTTGCCTACTGACAACATCAGTAGATACAGCTTTGACAATTTACCAGAAAAATACTGGCGGAAATATCAGTATGCTTCCAGATTTATTCAATCCGTAAGGTCTAAAACTCCCCAAATCACTTATTTTACAAGATATGCTAAATGTATTTTGATGGAGAATTCTCTTGATGCTGATTTCGAGGTTTGGTTTTATAATGGAGCCAAAATACACAAAACAGAAGATTTAATTCACATGAGTGAAAAATCTGGTAAATCTTATACTTTAAAAAATGAAAGTGAAATTATGAGCTTGAAAGAGGAAATGAAAATATATATGGACCATGCTAATGAGAGTCACCGTGTCTGTTTGGCACTGGAATCTGTAATCTCAGAAGAGGAAAAGAGAAGCAGGAGCTCTTCATTCTTCTCAATAATTATAGGAAGAAAACCTGATAATACTAGTTCACCTAAAGCCTTATCTCCACCTCCTGTGGACCTAAGCTACTCAAAGGGCGAGCAGGCATCAGAGCAGATTGAGCATGAATAGTGCATTTCCAACACAGGCACCAGTACACAATCCTTCTACTGCTACAGCTGAAGGACTTGGCCACACAGCCACTGCCACAGGAGCAAGTTTCTCTTCTTCGAGTCTTCCTAAATCAGCGCAGCTTTTGAAAACTGTTTTTGTGAAAAATGTTGGTTGGGCTACACAGCTAACTAGTGGAGCTGTGTGGGTTCAGTTTAATGATGGTTCGCAGTTGGTTGTCCAAGCAGGGGTGTCTTCCATCAGCTACACATCACCAGATGGTCTGACAACCAGGTATGGAGAAAATGAAAAATTACCAGAATACATCAAACAGAAATTAGTGTCTCTCTTCCATCCTTTATTTAATAAATGACTTTTTGGTTGGCTTTCAAGTAAAGTGAGTTTTTTTTTTTTTTAATTTACTATAACTTCAGAAAGCCTTTCTATGGCCAGGCGGTGGTGGCGCATGCCTTTAATCCCAGCACTTGGGAGGCAGAGGCAGGCGGATCTCTGTGAGTTCAAGACCAGCCTGGTCTACAACAGCTAGTTCCAGGACAGCCTCCA